CATTATTCCCATTTCATGGGTGGGAAATGACGAAGTACTTTTCCCAAGAAGGTTTTTATAGCACCAAGAATAGAATCTAGGTCTCTCAACCCAGCTGTTGTGAGGAAAAATGAGCTAATACGTATAAATTGCCTCGAATTCATTCAAAGAGTGGGTTTGTGTAAATCTGAGGTGTCATTAACAATAATCATACCCTGTGCATCTTGGTTTCCCCCGTTATTAACTAATGACAGCACAGTGAGGAAAAGTTTCAACACGATGCGATTAAATTTACTTGAGCATTTGTAAAAGAGATGAGTTTCAAAAGTGCTGAGTGTGCAGAATTAATAAAATTAAAAGGATACAGAAACATATTTTGAGACATATTTTTGGGTCCAAGGCGCAGTGGTGGTATCCAGATTCCTGCTGAGATTAAAACAGCAATGAACAGAAAGCACGGGGTGGGGATGGGAGGGTGGCGGGGTTGGGGAGGGGAGTTGAAGAATGTTTTAAAGGTGGAAACTGCTACCTCGGAGATTTTTAATTGGGCATATTTGATACTTCTCAAGGAGTCTCTTCATGCTACAAATAGCAATGACATAAATACCAGAGAGAATTGTGTCAAAGGGAGCCAGGTTTGCCCTCTGGGGTCTGCTGCTTTACCCTTTATGACTGCTGGACCACATGCTCCGTGGCAGGCTAGCACACTGCAGACCAACTATAGATTGTAACCAACCTACCCTGCAACATCTGCGAGAGTTAAGTAAAATTTTTTGGCATCCTTAAGCCTTTAAAGATTCACCTTGATGTTATAACTATGACCTCAATTCTGGACTGTTCCGTGTTGGGGGGCCCATGGGTCTTCATGCTTAGCTCTGCATGGTACTTACATGCACTGCATGAGGACATGTGTTGATTTTGAGTCTACTGATGCTCAACACTGTGCCTGCCACATAACAGGTGCTTTGCAAGTGATTGTTTATTCAGTACTCTTCTGGGAATTTTATATAATCAGGGTTGTATTGTTACGGCGCACAGACCAATCAGCTGATTCAACACGGACGCGCAGTCTTTAATTGATGATTTTCCTTTCCTGTCATGAGCTTACTTACCTGAAATCCACATCTTATAATTTATGAAAAAGTGAGAAAAGTTCTAAGGCAAGGAAGGAGGAAAAGTACTTGAAAATAAAGTGAAAATCTGGCTGGTGTTCAGATTCTGTTTAAAATGTTAACAGGGCTTTGGGTGCTCATAGTAAACATGTAGGGGTCCGCCTGTCAATGTCTTTTTAAAAACAAAGTAAACAGAGAAAATAGATTCGGAGACCAAACTAGGGAAGGAAATCATTGGTGAGTGATATCTTTACCCCAACTAATCTGCACACACAGATATATTTCTCTGAGCCCTGTTGACTTGCTTTCCACAGTGCAGTAAGGATTAATTGAAGTATTGGGAAAGCAGCTTTGTTCAGAAAATTCATAGAGAACTGGTGAAGTATCTGAAGATTGAGAGTGGCCATGGAGATGAAGGAAGAATCCCACGTATTATTTCTCTTCTGTTGAAAAGAGGGAGAGATTAACCCGGAAAATACCAATGCACAAAGTGAACTTCTCTACCCTGATAAGAAAGGAGACCAGGAGTGAATGCAGGGGAATTATTAGCAGATCTGCTCCATCTTATTTAATTCATTTGTGATCTCAGCCTCCCCTTCCTCAGCACCTGCTCAGCACTGTAAGTGTATCTTACCCAGGACATGCTGCACTTGATTGTGGTCATGATACCGTGAGATACATCGCCCTGCAATTGCAGCTCATTAGATAATGACTGGCACAATGTAAACTCTCAGAAAATGTTGAATACAAAATGAGTTAAGTCAACTTGAGGATAAAATTTAAGAGCTATAAGATAAAGTGCAAAGTGTAACCATGTCCAAAATAAACAAGGAAAAGTGAGAGTTCAATTAGATCCAGATTCTGGGTTGGGTCTTTTGGGACAGGAAGGGGGCAAAGAAGAAAGTCTTGCCAGCTGAGTTATGCACACAGAGTTGGAATCTGGCCCTGGGGAAAACCAAAGGCTGACATATCCTTGTCTGGTCTCCTTACTTGAACTGCAGTTTCTATTTCTGGTTATAATGACCCAATAGAAGGAATATAGAACTGAAAGTTAAGAGACATGGGTTCTCCACTTAACTTTGTCATGGTGACCTTGGATAAGACATTTCACCTCTCAGATCCTAGCCCCATCAACTATAAAATGAGAGGATTTGACTAGATGAACTCTCAAGTTCCCTCCAGGGAAATTCTAGAATTGCATAGTCCTTCTCTCTGTCTAGATTTCATTCTCTTACAAGAATATTTCTTAACAGTTATGATATAGATGGAATTTGGATTTAGAAAATGAATATAGATCATCTTAGCTCATATTGAAAACAATTTAGGGTCTGAATATACAAAACAAGAAAAGCAAGGGTCTCAGCATGGTGGCATGAATCATAGCAGATTGGGTCATGAAAAGGGCATTCCCATTTAGTGTTAGCTACACATCTCCTGATGTTTGAGTGGAACCAAAACATTTTGACAATATTCTTGGGCAATAAGAAAGCATATTGTTGGAAAGAGAAAAGAATTATCCATCCCATTTCATAGAGAAGGAAACTGAAGTCCAGAAAGGACAGATAATGCACTCAAGGTCACACTGTAAAGATGAAGTCAGACCCGATACATAGGTATCCTGATTCCCACCCAAATTGTCTGAATTTGTCAACAAAAAAAAGACCGGTATTTCCAATGAACTTGGTACCTCAGCCCAGTGAAACTGGGTAGTCTTTGGGCCAACTTGCTGTCATGATCCCTGCTGAAATCAGACCTGCTAAAAATGTCTATAAAGTTTACTGTTAGAAAAAGTTACTCCGTGAATGACCTAGAGAGACTCCTTAGAAGATTTCCTGCAGTCAGACTCTTCCACTGGCCTTGGGTCAGGAAATCTGCATCCATTCCATTGTCTGTCACTTTCAGGCTTTTGCACATCAATTTCCTTCTTTAGGAGTCAAGAAACTTTTAAGAGAAACTTCAAATATAAAATGATCCCAGATCACTATATATGAAATAATATTAGAAGAGTTTTTACCTAGTATTACTAATTAGCTAAAGAAATTATTCTTATCTACTTTTAAAATTTGTGTGTGTATATATACATACACATTTTTATATATAAAATATATTTAATATATATTAAAATGTATATAATGTGTTTTTATACACATACACACTATTCTTGTATAAATTATATATGTATGTATATATGTATGTATGTGTCTATATATGTATAGTGTGTATGTATGTATGTATATGATAGATATATATGTATTTATATCTCTCCAGTCTAGCTGGGAAATCTGTTTCAATCAGATTCAAAATCAACTGCTGCTCTCTCTTTGGACTTGATATATATAGCCAAGCAAGCCATTCTCGATTAACACGGCTTCCCTCCTGGGAAAAGTCACAGAATAACATTATTGATTTCCCTTTACCCTTCTCTACATTTCTCTACTGAAATATTATCTTAACTCTTAAATGTAAAAGCAAAAGGAAATGAAAATAAAAATGAAGAGCTTTTCTTCTTTAGGACTATGCTGATTATACTTTTGTTATTTTCTAAAAATACTTTTTTGAAGAACTGGGCACCCATGTGGGATATCTATGTAGTGAAGAACAGAGAGGACGACATGCTTTGCAAGGTTTTCAGGCAACAGATTTTTTACACTGAAACCTATGCTTTACACACAATGCTAGACTCGGTACTACATAAACCTATTCTTCTCATTCTCTTATGATTTAGCCAGCCATCTTTGAAAACTGCCAAGACTTTTTGGCAAATAGCTTCCCCAATATTTCTATAGAGAAAGTTTGTTTCTCATCAATTTTTCCTACCTCAAAAGATCCCAGGCAAGATTGGTTGGTTGGTTTGGTTTTAACATGCAGAAAATTCTTTACTTATAAAAACTTCAGGATCACGGATGCAATCTATGTATTTCTCCGATGCAATTTTAGAAATGCAAAAAGGAGGTTCTCCAGGCAGTATCTTCTTACCTGGAACTCACTGGAGCTCACTGGGGAAGAATAACTCAGAGCCTCATTCTTGCTCTTCCTGCAGGTTCTGAGCTGCCCTGTGGGATCATTTCTGATGGTGGGCAAGGATGGGTCAGGGTAGTGGCAAAAAGTAGAAAAGGGGACACTGAAGTGGCTTAAACTAAAAGCTCTAAAAACACCTTTTCCGTTTCCCTCCTCTTTTCTCCCTACAGATTTAGTTCTACTGACTCTAATAAATGAGTTCATAAAAGACTAGTGGAACTATTGGAATTTCTATTTCCTTCGGTTTGTATTTTTTTAGCACCCACAGGTCTTCTGTTTTGTTTTGTTTTGTTTTGTAAAAGGAAAGAAAGGATTGACTTATTTGCAACAATCTGATTCTTCACTTTAAGCAAATAAAGATGCCAATGAAATAAACTGATTGCGTTATTTAAAACTGAAAGCCTATGTGAACCACCACTCAGAAATGAGCTTTAAAGAACTACACAGAGAAAATAAAAACCCCGTGACTAAACAAGGCTATTATGATGCCGAATGCTGAGTGTACAACTTAGTAGAGTAATCATTAACAATACGAAAAATATCTACTTCCAATGTACAAATGAAATGCACTCAAAACTGCAAAGGACAGTGGCATGCTATGCTGCCCTAAGGTTTAATCGCAGAGCTTTTTTTCTTTTTTCTTGAATTTGCAAGCTTAGTTTTAATTAAATGCCATTTTATTATTAACCAGGCAGTTTATCTTTTTTCATTTTGTTGTTTCTCTGTACAATTTAAACAAAATTTGGAAGAGTTACGGGTAAAAGTGGGTAGAAAAGCATGCTAAGAATTGGGTCATCCTGTTGAAATCAAGTTCCCTTCTGTGTCATGCAGCAAGAATAATGGGGGAAATCTGCCCTAATATCTTGCTGTATCTGTCCCAACTCATTCTTTTCATAGGGCCTCAGCAGGGGAATTATGCAACAATGCAATTTGCATCCTGCTTAAATAGGAAGGTCTCTGGAGCACATTTCCAGGAACAGCCCTCTTCAAAGCAGAGGAGCCAAGATTGTACCTTGTAAGAGGAAACATTGTTTCCTTAGGCAATGTACGTTCTTTGTTGGAACCCAAAAGAGTGCTCCAGTTGCAGGCATCCTTTTGCCTCTGGATAAATGGAACTGCCAGAGGCTCATCCTATCCAGACAGTGTAGAACATACACTCAGCTTCTAGCATCTAATAGAAAGGTATTTCCTGGCCTTCTGTGGTACCCAGCTGGAACAAATTTACCACAATTTGAGGCTACCATGTAAGAAAGTCCAGAATTTAACATCCATCCATTCATTCCATTCATTCAGCAAGTTTTTAGAAGGCAGTTCTCATATGGACTGTGCTTTGCCTATGCACAGTGTTGGGTGGGAAGAAAAAAGTGGTAATATCCTGCCCTTCCTTTCTTCCCAGCTCCTACTATTCCTGGAATTTCACTTGATGTCAAGTGGCTACTCAGAAAAATCCTCAACTGAAAACATCTTCCAAGGGGTCCTGTATTTATTCCACCCTCCTCTCTCTTATCTCCATATGGAATATCATCTGACTCAGCCTAGAATGAATAAACTTTATTAATTAACCGTAAGCCTCAACAATGTCCTCCTCTTAACAAGTTTGATGCACAGACCACAAGAAGGCTGTATCTACTAACTAAAAGTGGGGAAGATCCCTATGTTGATTTCTGAAGCATAAAAGGCAGGGAAGGTTTTTAGACTTTTTGTGCCTATTGGGAACAGACCTAGGAGTACTTGCTTTATTTCTTAGTCGGAAAGAACCTAGAGCTGCGGATGCCTAAGGGAGTCATTCCAAGTGAGACTAGAATATCAAGAGAGAGAATTGATCCAGCTCTCTTGTCTGGTGCTTATAATACATGCAAATATTACTGACATCGTGGCAGGCTGTAGGGAATGAGCAGTGTGAATTAAGTTCTCTCCTCAGTTATGTGTTGCAAATACTGACCCTGGTGAAGCAGCAAGTTCCTGACCACAGTTTATACATAAATAAATACACAAAATGCTATTATTTTTTGTTCTTTACCTTGGGAAGACTTCAGAAACATCTTGTTTCAATTGATAAGCTGGAATCATAGAAAAACTTTAATCTTGATTTCCTTCCCAGTTTTTTGACTAAGATGCATATGTAAAATGGAACATTAGTTACATTTCTAATTGGGAAACACCTAGTAATCATAGGCAACCTAGATCTAGGTGTCTTGCAGAGTGCTGTTGTGTTAAGAGAGAAAAGATCCTAAAGAGAGAAACTTCTAAGTTAGCAGCAGCAGCAGCAGAGAGGTTATATGATTGGGTCTGGTGTTCCACATAGACGATATCAAGGCACAGTAAAGAATATGTCTCTCACAAATTAGTCCACAGACCTTTCTAAATAGGACCAATATGTAACATATACAAATGTAAGATCAGCTATAAGTAAAGATCCTCTCCTTTCACACCAAGCCATGGAGATTGCTAGCATTATCTCGGCCTTGGCCGCTTGACTTCCCTTAATACTGTCTGAGTAGGAATCAGGAACCAATGATGCCCCCCAATTAACCACAATCATAATGGTAGCGTCTGATACCAACCAAAGAATGTCCAGGTTGTAGACAAAAGGCTGATGTAGCATAGTGGGAAGACAACAGGGAATTATGAGGTCTACTTTGAGAACAGAGTCTATTTTGGATATTTAATGCTCCTTCTGTATATTTCACGCTAGCGGCAGAACAAATATCTAGGGAACACTTTCAAAATTTCTAACCTTTCAGAGGGACCTGTAACACTCAATTAGAGGAACCGCGGAATGTTCTACTCTAGCAAAGTTTAAAGGCTCAACTTAGGAAAACCCATCAGGTGTCTTATAGAAAACTGAATGGACAAAAGTACAACTGAAACCAAGAATGTGGATAATGGAATTACTGGATATGGATCTGAAACACAGATCTGCTACTTACTAACTCTGTGGACTCTGGCAAAGTGAATAACCTTCCCAAACCTCAGATTCTCAATCTGTAAAATGGGGATAATAATATCTCCTATGCATAATTATTTGGGGGACTAAATGAGAAAAGGAATATAAATTATTTATCCCAGGTCTGGCACATAGTGAGCACTCAGCAATGTTAGCTCCCTTATTTCCCTTTATCGATGCATGCTTTCCAGATTTCCACTTAACCTCTTTTCTCTGAGTCCATAGAAAACTGATCCTCTGTACTGTCTGGAAAATCTACTCAATTTAACTGTTTAGAAAGTTTATTCTAGATATGAGACATAGGAGGAATATGAGTATTAAATAATACATGGAATTTTTGCAAAAAAATGCTCATAACCTACTGAGAAAGTTAGAAACATACCTGTGTGATTATGAATGAGACAATGTTAAGTAGAATAATTTGGTTATTTAAATGTTTGAGAGAGGGGGAATCTATTATGTGCCAGGCACCATACAAGGTGGCAAAGATCCAAAGATATATAGGATGCACTCATTGAACTTCAGGGCCCTTAATTTAGTACAGGGAGGGACATATGAACACACCTCAGTAGCAGGTGGACAGTACAAAAGGTACCCGGTGAAAGAGAGACACAAAGGATGAGAAATCACTTCTGTTAGAAGTGTCAGGGAAGGTTTCACAAGGAAATAATTTCTAGGCTAGATATATAAAAAATAAGAAGATTAGTAACTTAGCTAAAATGGACAAATTCCTTGAAAAATATAACTTACTAAAACTGACACAGACAAAATAGAAAACCTAAATAGCACTATATTTATTAGAGCAATTCAGTTCATTATCTAAATCTTCCCACAGAGAAAATTTTAGATCCAAATGGTAACACTGGTAATTTCTATCAAATATTCAAGTAAATAATGACACTAATTTAATAAAATTCCTTCAGAAAATAGAGGAAGAGGGAATACTTCCCAACCTTTTTTAAAAAACCAAATTGGACAAATAAATTACAAGGCAATTACAAACCGATATCTTGCGTGAGTATAGATGCAAAAATCCCCCACAAAATTTTAATCAAGTCTAAGAATATACAAAAAAAAATCATGATCACTTAAGATTTATTCCAGAAATGTAAGAGTGGTTTTATATTTTAAAATCAATCAATGGAATTCACTATATCAATAAAATAAATGAGAAAAAGCATATCATCATTTCAATACATGCAGAAAAATCATTTGATAAAATCATTCATGACAAAAAAAAACACTTCTCAGCAGATAGGCATAGAAGGAATTTTCTCAATCTGATAAAGGGCTTTCTACAAAAACAATCTATCATTAACATCCTATGTAATAGTGAACTATAAAATGGATTTCCCCTAAGATTGAGAATAGGCAAAGGTGCCTGCTCTTACCACTTCTATTCAACATTGCACTGGACATCTTAGTCATTGTAATAAAGCAAGAAAAATAAAAGGCATAAATAGAGAAAGAGGTAAAACTACCTCTATTTGTAAGCAACATGGTTATTTAAGCAAGTAGAAAATCTTAAAGGAATCTACATAATAAGGAGTAGAACTAATAACTGCATTTAGTAAAATCACAAAATATAATATTAATACACACAAGTCAATTATATTTTTATATACTAGCAGCAAATAATAGGAAATGAAATAGAAAAAAAATTCCACTTGTAATAGCATCATAAAACATAAAACACTTAGAAATGAAGTTTTCAAAAATATGAATGAATTGAATTGTGTCTCCCAAAAGATATGTCTACTTGAAACCTCATAATATGATTTTTTTGGGGAATAAAAGGCTTTTGCAGATGTAATTAATGCATATAAGGATCCTGAGATGAGACCATCCTGAATAAGAGTAGGCCCTACATCCAATTACAGTGTCCTTACAAGAGACAGAAAAGGAGAAGACACTGAAACACAGAAGGAGACCATGTGAACAGGTGAAGGGAGAGGCAGAGATTGTAGCGATGTGTCTACAAGCCAAGGATGCCCAAGGATTGCTGGCAGATACCAGAAGTTAGGAGAAAGGCATGGAATAGATTCTCCCCTGGAGCTTCCGGAAAGAATCAACCCTGACAACACCTTAATTTTGGACTTTTGGCTTCCTAAACTGTGTAAATGAATTTCTGTTGTTTTAAACTACCCAGGTTATGGTAATTTGTTACAGTAGTTCTAGGAAATAATACAATATATAAGACCTTTATAATGAAAATGGCAAACTATTGCTGGGCTAAGTTTAAAAAAATATAAAGAAATGCAGAGATATACCAGGTTCATAGACTGGAAGACTCCAATATTACTAAGATGTCAATTCTACTCAAATTGAGCTATTTATTCAAAGTGGTCTCAATCAAAATGTCAGCATTTTTTCATTGTTGTTGCAGATATTGACATGGTAATTTTAAAATCTATATGGAAATACAGTTTCTAGAATTTTCAAAGTAATTTAAAAAGTATGGAGGTTTAATATTACTTTATTCCAAGATTTACTATACAGGTACAATAATAAAGACAGTGTGGTATTAGAGGAAAGAATGGACAAACAGATCAATGGAACAGAATAGAGTCCAAAAATAGACCCACACTGATATGGTCAATTGATTTTTTGACAAAAGTGCCAAGGCAACTCAATGGGAGGAAAAGTCATTTCAGTAAATGGTGCTAGAACAACTGGAGGACTATATAGAAAAGAATGAACAATGACCCTTATCTCACATCAGACACAAAAGAATTAACTCATAGTAAATAATGGGCATTAATATAAAAGCTAAAAGTCTAAATCTTCTAGAAGAAAACATAGTTGAAAATCTTTACAACTCTGGGGGTAGGCAAAGATAACAAAGATAAGACACAAAAACAAAGAACCAGAAGAAAAAAATTTGATAAATTGGACTTGCTCACAATTTAAAACTTTTGCTCTTTAAAAGTCACCATTAAGAAAATAAATATATACATAAGGAATTGAGAAAAAATATTTGCAATACATATAATATGACAGATTTATATTTGGTACATATAAAATTTTCTTATAACTCAATAATAATGAGACAAATAGCATAATAAAAAAGAAAGATTTAAACAAACATTTCACAGAAGAAGATCTACAAATGGTCAATAAATACATGAAACACTGCTCAAATCGGTCATCAGGAAATTAAAATTAAAATCACAATGAGATATAACTACATACCCAATAGAATGGCTAAAATTAAAAAGATTGACAAATAACAAGTTTTGAAAAGAATATGAAGAATGCTTGTAGTGGGAATGTAAAATGGTCAACAATTTTGGATAACTGGCTGTTTCTTATAAAGTTGAATATGCATTTAACACATGAGCTAGCAAGTCTACCCCTACAGTTTACCAAAGAGAAATGAAAGCATGTGTCTACACAAAGCTGTGTACACTAATGTTGACATTGTTCACCATAACAAAAAACCAGAAACAACTCGGATGTCCATCAACCAGTGAGTGGATAAACAACTCCATACTACAGTGAAATACTACTCAGCAATGAAAAGGAACAAACTACAACAACATGGACGAGTCTCAAAATCATTACATGGAATGAAAGAAACCAGACACGAAAGAGCACATACTATTTGTTTCCATTTACATAAAACTGTAGAAAATGCACACCAATCTATTACCTAGGGCCAAAGCCGGAGGGAGAGATGGACTGTAAAGGTATTCGAGGAAGCTTTTGGGGGTGATGAAGATGCCCTGTATTTTGATTGTCATGGTTGTTTTATGAACGTTAGACCTGTCAAAACTCGTCAATTGTATACTTTATATCGATGCAGTTGTTTTTGCATCAATATCTCACATCTCACGTGAGCTTTATCACTTCTCCATGTTCCACTTTATACTGGCAAAGAACTCTGTGATATAGAGGGGGATCTAGGTTGCTTTTTAATTTTTGTTGGTAGACAAACTTCTTTATTCTACATCAGGGGTCAGCAATCTATACCCTTGAGCCAAATCCAGCCTGCCCTCTCTTTGATTGGAATTACAATCACACCCATTTGTTTTCTCTTGTCTATACCTGCTTTGTTTACTACCATAGCTGAGTAGAGTGGTTGCAACAGAGATCATATGGCCCACGAAGCCTAAAATATTACTCTTTGGTCCATTACAGATAAAGTTCAGTGGCCCTTACTGTAGATAACACAAAGTTAGAAGTGGACATGGGAATATCTGCATGAATGTAAAAAGGGAGGTCTGCTTACAAGAATGAGTAAGAATGGCACATTGGACTTAAAAAAATCTATGTCCATCAATACGAATCGACACGACAGCAACAACAACAATAATAAATAGAGACAGAGTCAAATATATTTAAACTCTGGGTCATCAAACCACCTTGTATTAATCAATCCTATTAGAGCCAAAAGCTTTAGGGAGATGGGCTAAAGTGAAACTAGTTAAGAAGAGCAAGGAAGTACCTTTTCAGCCCAAACCAAAAATGCCCTGCCGAATTTCCCTTGCTTGGGCATGAAATAAATGGAATCAACTGTCCTTTCTATTCACAAAGGGAAAATCTGTATCTCAGTTTATTGAATAGTTAACTGTCAAACTATGTTCAAATCCAGATTTTCTTCAAATATAGTGAAATCCTCTGAGTTAAGGCTGTGGAAGGGGTAATGTGTGGTAGCGCAAAGAGCTCCGGCTGTAGCAGAAGCAGACAGGTTAGCTCTGGATCTTGGCTCTATCACGATGAGGATTGTGTGATGTTGAGCAAGTCGCCTAACCTCTCAAACCATGGCCTCTTCATCTGCAAAATGGAAATAACATTTCCTCAGTTATGAAGTTGTTGGGAAGTTTAAATGTGGAATGTAAACAACCCAAAGAACAAAGCAGCCACTCAGTAAAAATTATGACTCCTCCTTCCCCATCACTTTGCAGTTAGGATGGATGTTATCTCAACATCCCAAGCTGATATTGACTGCCACTGGTCTAGAAAGTCTTTTTAGGTGTTTATTTGGGGGAAGAGATGAATTAATTTTTAGATTTGGCTTTAGTTTTATTTTTACCTAGATATATGCTCTTTGTCCCTTCCTAGAGAAGTATGTTGTGCTTCTATGTATTGTGAAATACCTGCTGTGTTTTCCTAATACCTCCATACTCCTTATACTGATTATGCAAGCATTTACAAAAGTAATTTAAAAATCATTTGCGTGGGGGGATTAAAGCTTTCTAGAAAGTTTTTTCTATTTGTGGTGTTATCAGTATCCTTTTTAGAATTAAATCCTCCCATCTCTCTTGAAACCATTTCACTAAGATAAGAGAAAGTCTTTTCGAATACTGCAACCCATTTCATAATTTTAGGAAGAAATTGTGCAAGGAACTTAGAAACGCTAAGTTCAGTTTTAGCATGCCACTTAAATAGGATCGACTTGGAGACAATCCTTGTATCTCTGTTCTTCTCTCATTGAGGCACAGGATTCATCTTTGGATTTCTATGTGGCTATTACAATCCTGAAGCCTCAGAGCCACCTATGCCAGCGAACAGCATAAAACTAAGCAGAAAGAAGGAAAATCTTCCATCCCTAAGACTGATTTCCAGCTTCGCTTGTTCACATGTCCACATTTATCACCTGCCTTTAGAATTTGGGACCCTATATATTTGCTTAGACTTGTACCTCTCTTGTAAATTACGCCTCTGTACTTGAACCTTAGTCTGCTGCCACCAAACTCTTCCTGCTTAATTTTTTCTTCCAGACAGCCCTGGCATGTTTTTGGCCATATCACAGCATGATACCGAGCCCTTTGTCCTCCCTGGGTCCTGGTTTAACCAGGTGTAAAATGGGAATGTTGTATTCTCAGGCACTCTGCACAGACACACTAAAGACAAATAAAAAGGAGATACAAATGTTCTTCTAATTTGCAAGCAGAACAGATTATTTTATTGCTGACATTACTAGAGGCAATCTAAATGGTGGTTTTAATCAAATCGTTTCTATATCATTTTAGAATAACCAATCTAGAAGTTATCATGAATTTTAAATATTAAAATACGTTTTCTTTAAAATAGTAGGTGGCATGGAGAAGGGAGAGCATTGCCACATGAGTATATCTAGAAGAACCTAAAAATAGCAAATAAAGAAAAGAAAGCTACAGATCACCTGACACATGAAAAGCTCACCTGAATATTGATAGGACTCACAAATCAGCAGCAAGACAGCTTAGCACAAAACCTGAAACTGTGAGCCAATCATGGCGCTTCTTAATCTTTCAGTAATAAAAGACAGCTGTGATTTTCAAAGTGACTCTTTCCCTTTTCTGTCTGCACGCAAAGGTGTGTGCCTAGCTAACTCTTCAGTACTCAGCTCTCTCAAGCACCGTTCTGTGACTCACTGGGGACAGCAACGTTCAGCACCGAAAATGACAGTATTCCCAGTTTGGGGAATGAAAATCACTTTGCTCTGGTTTAAGAAAATGGTCTCCAGTGAAATTAACAAAATGGTGTATGTACATGTATATATTTTGGGGAAGGCACTCAAGACAGGTATAGGATATTTTTGTTTTCATAATGTCATATTAAGCTAAATTTTTATGTTATTAAGATTGATTACAGGAAATTCTATCATATCTCCACCCTTCAGACATGAGACTTTGCCTTCTATCCCCAAATTACGTTACCAACTTGTGACCTTTAGTGTAATTGTGGAAACCTGCCCTGCCTTACCCCACAGGTCAGTACTTCTTTCCCCTCAGCTTCCCAGAGCCCAGCCTAGAATGCAGAAGTGAGCAAATAAAACACTTTTGAACACTCGAAGTAGTAATCTGTGTGTCTCCACAATAGCATGATGCCTCTCTCTTTATACCCCCCTCAGAATCGTAGCCTGACTCCTTTCACTTATGATTTATAACGATTTTGGTTAACTTTTTCCCCAGAAGAAGCAAACTACAACTGAATTGGGAGAGCAGCTGAGGAGCAGGCACAGGAAGAGCAGGAAAAGCCAGTACCAACAGCTGAATGCAGAATACAGCCTGAAAGGCTAAACCGCAGACAAAGACTTCTGAGAGCACAGAATGCAACGACGGCAGTTCATAATGGTGACCCTTAGCCATCAAGTGGGTTAGGTGCAGAAAATGTATTTAGAGACTGAAAAGGCAGAAGTTGTTGTGATGCCTGAATAGGTGAGCTTTTGTTCTTAGAAAAATTTACTTATATGGGAGATTTTTGTTCCTTGATAAAATAGGGATAGCTGAGGCATTGCTAATGTAATTGAAGAGGTGCTCATTTAGGCACTTTTATTTGGTCATTTTACATTATTTTATCTCGTGTTCTTGAGTGAAGAGTCTATATGCCCAGAGAGAGCAGGCCCATGTGACTTCTGCCCAGTGTGTGTATACTTTGCATAAGCACGGTCAGGTGCTTAATGAATGCTGGTGATGATCATGATCAAGTGCTTGATAACAGGGTCTTCTCTAAAGGCTGATTAATGGGGCTTGAAGTTGACATCTTTTCATACTCATTTTTTGGGGGTGTGTGGGGATAGAAGGACTATACATGGAATATCCATTGAAAGAAAAATGTAGAAAGGCTGTTCTGTTTAGAAGTAGGTAAAGAGCTTTGAAAAACTTTTTGCTGATGGTTAAATAGGATATCCAAGATTTCATTCCTATGACTCATTCTATGATTTGGAAATATTTTATCTTAGCCAACCTCCATTTCCAAGATTTTCACAACCACACTTGCCATTTGCAACATCTGAACTAGATCTGCCAAGTTAAGTGGTTCTTGGTTCAGTCAGAACAATATTTATGACTTTTGTATGAAGCTACCTATGTACTAAGAAACCAAGAGGTGCTGAGAGCTATTGTCATCCTACAGCTCTGCCACGCCACACACGAGGCTATTTAAGCGTCTCCTTGAGTATAGCCTTCCATAGAAATCCTTCTCTCTATGCTAATGGATGGGGACTCTTCAGTCTTAGACTCTCATCTGCCACTTACTCTTGTCTCTCCTTACCATTAAGTCAAGCACAAAAACAATAAAAAACAAATAAAACTGACCTCACCCTAAGTAGTACTACTCACCGATTCCCTTGTTGTGATCCACTGCGCCATCATTCTTCCAGATTTAACATGTGGGGGGTTGTCTTTGATTTGCCCCTTCTCCTCCTTCCCCAAACCCACTTTTAGCGACAAATCCCTTTTGCTCTTCTGTGCAGTGTGTGTCTTTTACTGCCCCCTCCTCTCCGCTGTTCACTGTTGTCTTCTCTAAATTCTTTGCCTCCTCACCTATTGGATAACCCTAGCAGCTTCCTTACTAGCCTTCTCCTCTCTCATTACTTCCTCCTCCAAGCCACCTGGAATTCCATTAACAGAATAATCTACTTTAAATTCTGCCTTTAATTTGTCATGTCCTAGCCCCAAATCTTCATTGGCATTCATACCATTTCATATCTATGAAGCTGTGAATGTGAGAAAACTCCACAAGCAGGAAAACATTATAGAATTGTCGTCATCACGGTAATGACCCTTCCTGGACGTGACATACTGTGATCTGTCTTCCCTGAGGTATAACCTGATTTGAAGCTGCTGGCCAACATGCCACCTTGGCTCTGGTTAGGTCAGCCTCATCGTTGTCAGTGAGCGTGCTTCACCCTCCTGACCCACACGTTCCCTCCAGACGCTGAATGAAAGCACAAGCAGGAGCTCTTTTATATTGTGAAATGACCAGACCTACATGGCTTGCCCAAGAGCTCTGTTCTTGACCCCCTGTCTTGTTTATTTATATTAAAGCCTTGGATGAAAATAGATTACATTCTTATCGAATTTGCAGATATTGAAAGTGGAGGAAAATAACAGCTATGCCAGATGACGAGATTAAAGTTCAAAGAGAACTCCAACAAGAGGTCAAAATGAAGAGCACAAAATGTGACCGAAATAAATATATTTTGAATGACGGGTTCAAAACTTCAACTCAACCGGATGGGGGAGACCCTATATAATTATTATTCTAAAAATTTTTCAGGAGAGGAGGTCAGGATGAGAGTCAGGGGGCATGGATTATTTATAAGGAAAAGATAAACAAAGCCAACAGTTTTGCTTCTAAAATAGCCAAAGCATATTTAGGCTCTATTAATAGAATTATGTTGTCTAGAACAAGGGAGGGCCTAGTTAACACGGTGTTCTTCATTGGTTGGACAGCCCAAGAATATTTTCAGTTCTGGTTGCCATATCAATAGACAAATACATGAAGAATTATGAAGGATCTGGAAATCACATATAGTCTAGAAATACATATAGCACAGTAAATAGATTTATTCATATTTAATTTGAAAAGGGGAACATTAAGAAAGGTTGTAATGTCTGTGTTTTTAAGGACTATCCTGAAAAAGAGGGAGTAGATTTATTCTCTGTAGCTAAGGAGGGAAGAACTAATTCTTGAAAGTTTGGAAAAATTAAACTTTAGTTCAGCAGAAAAATTTTTTATCAATAAGAGACATAATGCAGTAGAATAAGATGTCTTGAGAAACTAACTTCTTGCGACTAGAAGTGTTCAAATATAGATTGAGTGACATCATTATAGATTTTTTTGGCATTCTTGGAGTGCAGAAAGTTAGACTAGATAACCTGAAACCTACCTTTCTTCCATCTCTAAGGTGCGTTATTGCTCCTCACACCTGCTATTAATACCCTCCCCTCTCCCAGCTCTAGCAATGTTTATCATATTTGCTGCACACTGACAGGTGTCTCTGGCTTTCTCACCAGACTGGGAGCTCTTTGAAGGTACAGACTCTGTTTGTTTTTTTTTTTTTTTAATCTATATATTCCTGGCTTCTAGCACAATTCCTTAAGCAGCTGAGGTACTCAATGTATTGCACTGAACTAAATGAATTATGAAGTTCTATGGAGAAAAATCCTACCTACTCTTCAAAGTCCAGCACAAGTTTTCGCTTTACTCGGAAAACCTTCCCTGATGACTCTTAACGCTCATATCCTGTGCCACACAATTTGCCACAATGCAGTTTTCTATGTTTTTTCTTATATGTGGTTGAATATGTGCCATTCTTATCTCCCCAACTAGAATGTCAATTCTCAGTGAACCAAGAGGTACCGTTTATGATCTCATGGGGCTAGTGAGTAGGATGGTGGTTACCAGAGGCCGAGGTTAGTGAGAAGGGGGATAAAGTGAGGTTGATTAATGGGTGCAAAAATACAGTTAGATAGGATAGAAGGAATAAGATCTTGTGTTCAGTAGCACAGTAGGCTGACTATAGTTAACAGTAATTTATTGCATATTTCAAAATAACTAGAGAAGTAAATGTGAAATGCCCCCAACACAAAGAAATAATAAGTGTTTGAGGTGATGGCTATCCCAATTACCCTGATTGGATCATGACACATTGCATGCTTGTATTAAAATATCACATGTACCCCATAAATATGTATAACCGCTATGTATCCATAAAAATAAAAAATAAAATAAATATCCTTTAAAAATATGCCAACTACTTATCATTATACTCAGCACAGAATTTGGTAGTGATAATGTGCTTACTGATTGATTGAAGAGTAATCTTCTAGAAAATTTTAGCATTAAAAGTCATCTTCCACTTTTTAATTACAAAGGGAAAACTAGTAACTTTATGGTTACGAAATGTGGCAGACAGTACCTTAACCAAGTGATGGAAATTTATGTTACCCATAAGACAACATATTGACGTCACTGACCCTGCTATGATGCATTGAAAAGGAAACATCATCACTTCAGTGGTATTCTTGCCAAAAATGAATAACCTCTACCTAATCATGAGGAAACACCAGACAAAATCAAACTGAAGGGCAGTCTACAAACATCTGACCTGTAATACGCCAAAGAAAAACTGAGGAACTGTCACAGATTGGGATTGAGAAGACGTGACACTACATGCCATGTGGGTGGGATCTTGGATTGGATCCTTGGCCAGAAACAAAGGAAATTAATGGGAAAAGTCAAAAATTCAAATGAAATTTGTAGATTAGTTAGTAGTATTATAACAATGTTAATTTCTAGGTTTTGATAATTGTACTATGGTTATGATGTTAACTTTAGTGGAAAGTTGATGAAGGATATATGGAAACACTATACTATTTTCACACCTTATCTGTAAGTCTAAAATTACTTTAAAATAAAAAGTTAAATAAATTCTACTTTGGTTTTCAACTTGAGTGGCGATCCAAACAACCAAGACGGCTACCTTTAACCAAATCAAGGTGTATTCAATTCTCGTTATTCACAGCAGTTACGTTGTACTTAGTTGCCACAGTGAATTAGCAAATACTGAAGAAGTATTCACAAGCCTCTGGTCACATTTTTGTCAACTGATCAATACACAACCTTGTTTTATGTGTGTTTCTGTTTCAAGACATCTTATTTTATATATATTGTTGATTCATTAGCATTGAACTCATAGCCAACAGCCCTATAACTCCTGACTGAATAAAATTTGTTAACACACACATTTTCATCAGGCACATCACGGCCTTCTTATGCATAGGAACACTAGGCAGCAGTCAGCATTTCACTTGGGGGCCACATTAAACAGCAAAATAATCAACAAAAAGCCCAAATATGCAAAATATGTGGCATCAGGGGACATAAATTTTTCACTGCTCTGGGTATGTTCACAAATGACCATGAAACTCTAGCTAGCATTAATTTTGGGGTTACAAATAAATTTTAGTGAGTGGGTAAACTCACAAATATAGAAACTATGAGTAATGAGGATTAAATAGACCTGTAAACACATCCAATGATTGTGAACTTACAGGCTCTTGCCTCGGGTGAATAAGAGAATAAGCATAATGATATTTGCATTTGAAATGATAAACTGAATTCTTGAAAAATTAGTAAGTAATCAAGAATTCTTCAACTATCAGAATACAGCAGAAAAAGTGAGGCTTCTTCACGACAACTTGCCCAATTTTAGTATCACAATTTTCTCAGAGATGGAGACACATCAGGGATATTTGTCTCTGAACTTTCATTCAATTTGGCAGTGTTTTAATTTTATAACTTAGTTCTATTTTGGTTTATGGTCTTTTCCCCCATCCTGGCTAGACTGAGGATGTTTCTAATACTCTGGCGTCATCAATTCTAATGATATTTATCTTCTTTGCATTTTAGTCATCAATACAGATGGCTGCAACCTGAACTTCAGCATCAGTATCTGGAACTGCTTCACCCTCAGGAAATCCCTTGTTAATTACCACACATCTCACTCTCCACCTCTACTGAATCTATTCAGTTTCTACTTATGGTCTAAAAACTCCAAAATTCCTACCTATCCCTCCAGCCAATCACTCTCCTCCAGCTATACTTAGCTCTGTTTAGTCGGTAATGCTTGTGAAGCCATTTCGATGATTTCACCAGCACCCCAGCTATCTTTTGACATTTTCCACATTATGATCTTTTCATTTTCCACACTATGATCTTGAGTAATCGCTGCTTGTTTCCTCTGCTTCCATCATTGGTTGGCCAACTATTTCTGCAAAAATTCATAAAACCATACCATATAAATTCAAAATAAATGAATTTACCTAGTCAACCTTCAACAAATCTTCATTATTCTTATTGATCTACTGTTGAAATCCAATTCCACAGACAGGATCTGCCAAATATTCCTTCCTTTCTACACACACTGCTAACACTCTTTCAGACTGATACATAGCTCACCTGAGTCTATGGTAATAAGTTCTTAACTAGTCCCCCCACATCCTGTCCTGTCCACTTTATAAGCTAATTAATCATCTAAAGTAGACAGTTAACCAACTTACATGCTCCCCATTGCTGCCTGGCAAAATTTCAAACACCTTTACACAGCATTCAAGTCCCTCTATGAATTGACTTCCGATTACCTGCAAAGCCTTTTCTTCCACTAAACCTATTTGCAAACTATATCTAAGCCTAAATGGACTATTTGCATTCTTAGCTACATTTTAATTTCTCTAATCAAGTCCCTTATTTATGCTTTTTCCTTTATCAGGAATATTTTGCCTACCTAATCTTTGCCCATCAAAATCTTACCCATTTTTTAAACCTCAGTTCAAAGTACATCTCTTCCATGAGGTCTCCTCTG